ACTGGAATCACAGGTTAAACAGTTATCATATTATAAGGAACAAGTTAAACAAGATTTATCACATTCTTCACAATTCTAGGTAATAGGATCTTCAAAATATCCTTGTTCACATTCACATGTATTTCCAGATTTAAATTTTCTATGATTATCAATAGAACATGTTAAACAATAATCGCTAGTATAAGCACAAGATAAACAAGTCTTAATACATAATTTACATTATTTATCTACAAGCGATTCATACATTCCTTCATTACATACACAATTGTTATTTTTTAAATATCGAAATTAAACACACGTAGTACAATTATTTATAGATGATGAGCAGGTTAAACAATTCTGATGACATTATTAACAGATTCCATTAATCTCTAAATAACCAATTAAGCAATCACATGTTTTAAAAGTTAGGTTAAGTACCCTAAATTAATCAGTAAAACAAGAGATACAATTATTTGATGTAAATTAACAATTCTCACAATTTGAATTACATTTTTAACAAAGTTATTCACCAATGTCATAATATCCTTATTAACAATTACAATTTTATTCAATTTTTCTAGTTTGTGGACATGATAAACATAAATAAGATTAATCTATGCAACTTAAACATTGAATATCACATTTTTAACATGAAGTTGATTAACCATCATCATAATATCCAAATAAACATTTACATGTATTATTATAAAATACTCTTTAAGATTGATTTTAATCAATACAAGAAAGACAAGAATTGTTATTTCCTGAATTACAACTGAGACAAGAATAGTGACATTTTTAACAAATTTCGATTCCAATGTCATAATATCCAATATTGCAATCACAAGTAAAAAGTTGATCATTAAAAGTTCTATTAGATTCAAACGAGCATAATTCACATTTTGTATCAATTTCAATGCATCTAAGACAGGAATAATGACACACTTATAATATAGATGATAATTACTTTAACAAACATCATTAAATCCATCGTCGTAGTATCTTTCAATACATTAGCATTTATTAAATCCTGAAACATATAATCTCAAAGTATTATCTTTACAAGAGATGCACATTTCAGCTTATTATTTGCATCCTTTACATTTATAACTGCATTCTATTCATTAAATTTAGATAATACTTTCACAAATAGGTAATCCTGCATCGAAATAACCTTCTTTACAAAGACAAGAATTTGCATCTTAATATCTTTGATCAACATCAATACAAGATATGCAATCAGTTTCTTCAATTCCTCCACAAGTTGCACAAGAATAATGACAGTCTAAGAATAATCTATTGTTTTACTTTAACATTTAGCCATCCCATTTAATTCAAAAGTACTAATTAAACTTCCTTAAAATTTTGTTATGCATTTGCATGTATTTCCATCTAAGTACCTATCATCATAACATGAAGTACAATTGTTATAAGTATTAATACATTCGTAACAGAAGGCACTACAAACTAAATTTAGATCTAATAATAATACTTGTGCATTCCTAGACTTCCATTTCAAAGTAATGAGATTTACATATACATTAATTAACTTGTAATTCTCTAAATGCAATTGCATCACAAGTTAAACAATTTTCTTCTCCAAAACTATCACAAGATTTGCATTTAAAATAGCATTCTAGAGTTAATATTCAAAGTACTTTAACAAGTAACTTCATTTTCTTTTTCATAAAATTCTTATGTACAGTAGCATCCTTTAACAGGATCAAGTGCGCGAAAAGAATTAAGTGGGCACGATAAACATTAATCTTCTTTGATTTCACATGTTTCACATTTAAATGAACATTCTATTGATTTATGATTAAAATAATTACTTTTACACAAAGCTATACCTTGATCTTCATAATATCCATCAGCACATTTGCAAATATTTCCTTTTAAAACTCTTATATGATTTTCAAATGAGCAAACTACACAACCTTCTACTGTATTATCAAAACATTTATAACAAGAATAATGACATTCTATTGATATAAATCAAAAAATGTACTTATGCATTCTAATTCTCCAATATCAAAATATTTAATTGGACATACGCATGATGCAAAATCAAGTTCTCTATATGTAGTATTACATGATAAACAATTAGATTCAAGAGGACCATTACAAGTTTCACAACTGTAATGGCATTTTTTACAAGTAGGAGAAAATCCATCATCAAAAAAGTCAGAAGAAATACAAACACATTCATATTATGTATTTGATGGATTATTAGACATTCTAGTTTCAGGACATCCATCAACACAAGCATCTTTTTCACCACTTTAAGCACAATTAATACATGAATAGTGACATCCTATAATGATATTTTTATATTATTACTTTAACACTCGATATTATTATTGTCATCATCATAATATGATAATTTACACAAACATTATCCATCTTTTAAATATCTATAAGAACTATCTAAACATTATGTGCAACTTTCTGGTCCATATTCTTAACACATTCCACAAGTATAATAACAACCTAATTATATATTTTAGAAAATTACTTAGACATATTTCTGAGTCTTCTTCATAAACAGAATAATTAGGTTTACAATCACAATTGAAATTTAATGAAACAATTCTATTTTCTCCTGGAATGCAAGTTATACAATATTAGTTTGTAGTTTAATCAGCTGCTTAAAAACAAGTTTCACATCTTGGATGGCATACTTAATTAATTAATAAAATTATACATCCACATGTAGATTATTTGATTGCATAATCAGCATATCCATCTAAGCATAGACAAGAATTTTCAATTGATATTCTATTTGAAATACTTAGATCTAAGCATTAAGTACATTCTTAATATGTTGGCCCTGAACAAGTTAAACAAGAATGATTACAAGCTAAAATTATGAATAAATAAATATACGTAAGCAAATTTAATCCTCATTTTCTGGATCATATGTTCCAGGTCTACAAATGCAATCTTAATTCACTAGAATTCTATTTGATCCTGATTTACATGATGTACATTTAAAGAAATTTTCCTATTCACATGTTTAACAATATCCTTCTGTGCAAAGAACACACATTTCGAATTTCGAACCATAATCAAGTTTACATTTGCAAATACCATTAACAAATATTCTAATTGCAACATCACAGGTTGTACAAATCCATGGATAATTATCCAAGCAAGTCTAACAACTTCCATCACAAATTATTGGTGAACAAATATCATCTTTTACAGCATACCCTGCTCTACATGCAATACATTTATCAAAATTTTTATTATAAAAGACACATCCTTTAGAGCCTTATGAATTCACTATAAAGTTATCTCCATAATATATTACATTCGCACTTAAAATCTTTTTAAGAATAACTAGATTTTGGATTGCATTGAGAACATCCAATATTATATTTGATAGGAAGTGAACTTCCAGGAACATAAGGTTGATAGCTAATAAACGATTATTTCGATGGTTCACAATTTTCTGCAAGAATACATCCATATAAATTTGGTTGATCTGCTACAATCAGAAGTTTTAAATAACCCGGATCACAATCATCACAACTCATTCTAGTATCTAGACCTAGTGGATCTTAATTTCTACTACAAGTTATACAGTTTTGAGGGCAGCCTATAAATAATTATTATTAATTAGCTACGAACACATTTTTTGCTATTAAACACACCAAGTCCTGTTACACAGGTATAAGAAAGTTACCAAATTGGATTACCAAACATGTCTTAACTGGCATAGCAAGAATTATAACCATCACAATCTATGATATTATCAAAGTTTAAATTACTAGATAAACACAACGTATTTGTATTCGAAGGGTTGCCCATAAAAAACTCTGGTTTGCATAATGTACATATGTTAAGATCATCACATTCCAAACATTCAGGGCGACATTCTTTAATAATATTTATTCTTACCTCTAGGAGGATTAGAAAATCTTTAATCCCATCCTTCCTTAACGAATTAACAATTATATCCATAGAAAGGATCTTTACATATATCACACATGTATCTGCCTTAATAAAGGATAGTCATCAAACAACGTTTCTATATTTCATCACTTAAATCTATTTTATTTATTTATATTATTTACTTATGCAATAATGTTTAATTTTATCATCTGATGTAATTTCCAGAACCATTTGATGACCAATCTCAAATCCACAATGCACTGTTTCATTTGCAAGAGTTAATGTTCCAGCTCCCCATGGTTAGAATCCAGGATGACATAAATGTTAAGTACCATTTGTTTCAGTTCTTACCTCTACATTTGTTACACCTTAACAAATCAAAGCATAAGCTAGATAATTATTTCAACTATTTACAAACACATTAATGAGGATGCAGACCAGGTTTTGTAGTATGCAAATCTGGACATAAGTCACCCGCGTCTCCATACCACAATGACCAACTTCCTATTACTTCTTTAATGACCAACGCTTTCAATAGCCATTAAATCATTTGTAATTATTATTATTATTCCTTGTACTCATCTAAAATGCTTAAATATAGACGACAATTAAAAAAAAAAAAAGTAGTTAGGTCTATTTTATAATACAGCATTAACTTATCTAAAAATTCAAACTTGTATTCATTTATTATTCCATACTTATTAATATAAATATATAGGTATCAAGGACAAAAGTTCAAAAATACATCATTTATATCTCTTTAATTTTTATTTTACAAAAAAGAACTAATATTAAAAGTATTCGAAAATTAATTTAATTATAATGTATATATTTAAGATCTCATTCTAAACTCTCCTCTTTTGTTACATAAAAGAAAATAAAATAAATTTATGATTATGTTTTTAAAATTAATTATATAAATACTGAAAATAAAGTTTTAAATCTTAGTTTTACCATTTTCACCATTCTTTTAGTCAAGAATATTATATTTTGTTTTATATTAAGTTTTTAATACCTAACTAGATGTTTTATATTTATAAAATTATAACACTCATTTTATTAGTATTTAATCAATTTTTCGATATTCGCGGCAAATTAATTTTTCTTTTAATTTTTATGAATCAAACCCCTAAAACCAGAACTTGAAACAAATAATTTTATAATTATNTATAAGAAAGTTACCAAATTGGATTACCAAACATGTCTTAACTGGCATAGCAAGAATTATAACCATCACAATCTATGATATTATCAAAGTTTAAATTACTAGATAAACACAACGTATTTGTATTCGAAGGGTTGCCCATAAAAAACTCTGGTTTGCATAATGTACATATGTTAAGATCATCACATTCCAAACATTCAGGGCGACATTCTTTAATAATATTTATTCTTACCTCTAGGAGGATTAGAAAATCTTTAATCCCATCCTTCCTTAACGAATTAACAATTATATCCATAGAAAGGATCTTTACATATATCACACATGTATCTGCCTTAATAAAGGATAGTCATCAAACAACGTTTCTATATTTCATCACTTAAATCTATTTTATTTATTTATATTATTTACTTATGCAATAATGTTTAATTTTATCATCTGATGTAATTTCCAGAACCATTTGATGACCAATCTCAAATCCACAATGCACTGTTTCATTTGCAAGAGTTAATGTTCCAGCTCCCCATGGTTAGAATCCAGGATGACATAAATGTTAAGTACCATTTGTTTCAGTTCTTACCTCTACATTTGTTACACCTTAACAAATCAAAGCATAAGCTAGATAATTATTTCAACTATTTACAAACACATTAATGAGGATGCAGACCAGGTTTTGTAGTATGCAAATCTGGACATAAGTCACCCGCGTCTCCATACCACAATGACCAACTTCCTATTACTTCTTTAATGACCAACGCTTTCAATAGCCATTAAATCATTTGTAATTATTATTATTATTCCTTGTACTCATCTAAAATGCTTAAATATAGACGACAATTAAAAAAAAAAAAAGTAGTTAGGTCTATTTTATAATACAGCATTAACTTATCTAAAAATTCAAACTTGTATTCATTTATTATTCCATACTTATTAATATAAATATATAGGTATCAAGGACAAAAGTTCAAAAATACATCATTTATATCTCTTTAATTTTTATTTTACAAAAAAGAACTAATATTAAAAGTATTCGAAAATTAATTTAATTATAATGTATATATTTAAGATCTCATTCTAAACTCTCCTCTTTTGTTACATAAAAGAAAATAAAATAAATTTATGATTATGTTTTTAAAATTAATTATATAAATACTGAAAATAAAGTTTTAAATCTTAGTTTTACCATTTTCACCATTCTTTTAGTCAAGAATATTATATTTTGTTTTATATTAAGTTTTTAATACCTAACTAGATGTTTTATATTTATAAAATTATAACACTCATTTTATTAGTATTTAATCAATTTTTCGATATTCGCGGCAAATTAATTTTTCTTTTAATTTTTATGAATCAAACCCCTAAAACCAGAACTTGAAACAAATAATTTTATAATTATGTAATACTGCTACATATTCAATCTTATAATAAATTAAAAGATGATATACTTCAAAATTTTAGAGCACCGTTTTTATTATTATTTAATCAATTTCTTTTATATTTGCTTCAAATTAATTGTAATCATTTCTTAATCAAAGAGTTGAGCCTGTCAAAATAATATGTGAAACAAATAATTGTTAAAAAATGCAATATTTATAAAATATATTCCAGAAATATTTTATTTATACAAATATTGTTATAGTATTATTCTATTTATCATATAATTTATTTCTGTTAAAATATTTGATAAACGATATCTTTTTTCTCATCCTTAAACTTGTCTTAAAAGGCTCAAATTATATATAATACATTAGTCCAAAGGTTTGATAAAGTAAAATAGATGAACCAGAGATAGAAAATAAATAACTTATTAAAATATAATTTTTTAATTAAATCGATCAAATTATGCTTGTCTTGAAGAAAAAGAATGGGAAAGAGTAAACAGATTAAATTTAATTTAATATTGCTATTATTATTGTAGATGATTTTAATGTATTAANCTTCTTTAATGACCAACGCTTTCAATAGCCATTAAATCATTTGTAATTATTATTATTATTCCTTGTACTCATCTAAAATGCTTAAATATAGACGACAATTAAAAAAAAAAAAAGTAGTTAGGTCTATTTTATAATACAGCATTAACTTATCTAAAAATTCAAACTTGTATTCATTTATTATTCCATACTTATTAATATAAATATATAGGTATCAAGGACAAAAGTTCAAAAATACATCATTTATATCTCTTTAATTTTTATTTTACAAAAAAGAACTAATATTAAAAGTATTCGAAAATTAATTTAATTATAATGTATATATTTAAGATCTCATTCTAAACTCTCCTCTTTTGTTACATAAAAGAAAATAAAATAAATTTATGATTATGTTTTTAAAATTAATTATATAAATACTGAAAATAAAGTTTTAAATCTTAGTTTTACCATTTTCACCATTCTTTTAGTCAAGAATATTATATTTTGTTTTATATTAAGTTTTTAATACCTAACTAGATGTTTTATATTTATAAAATTATAACACTCATTTTATTAGTATTTAATCAATTTTTCGATATTCGCGGCAAATTAATTTTTCTTTTAATTTTTATGAATCAAACCCCTAAAACCAGAACTTGAAACAAATAATTTTATAATTATGTAATACTGCTACATATTCAATCTTATAATAAATTAAAAGATGATATACTTCAAAATTTTAGAGCACCGTTTTTATTATTATTTAATCAATTTCTTTTATATTTGCTTCAAATTAATTGTAATCATTTCTTAATCAAAGAGTTGAGCCTGTCAAAATAATATGTGAAACAAATAATTGTTAAAAAATGCAATATTTATAAAATATATTCCAGAAATATTTTATTTATACAAATATTGTTATAGTATTATTCTATTTATCATATAATTTATTTCTGTTAAAATATTTGATAAACGATATCTTTTTTCTCATCCTTAAACTTGTCTTAAAAGGCTCAAATTATATATAATACATTAGTCCAAAGGTTTGATAAAGTAAAATAGATGAACCAGAGATAGAAAATAAATAACTTATTAAAATATAATTTTTTAATTAAATCGATCAAATTATGCTTGTCTTGAAGAAAAAGAATGGGAAAGAGTAAACAGATTAAATTTAATTTAATATTGCTATTATTATTGTAGATGATTTTAATGTATTAAAAATTATTTTTTTGAGACGTAAAATAAAAATATAATCTATTTTTAATTACAAAAATAATATAAAATATTGAATATTTAAAAATAATATTCTTTAAATTAGAATTCTAATTTTAATATTCATAAAATTAAAATTTAAATGTTACAGAATCTAATCATTTTTTTATAAACTGCAGATTACAAAAAAGACAAGAAATAAAAGATTATATTAAGATTTAATTTTTTTTTACTTCAAAGTAAGTTAATAATTTTTTTTGGATTATAACAGTAGTTTTCTATTTCACTCTGAAAATAGCCAAACTCATAACGATATCACAACCCTTTATTTACATATATAATAAAATACAATATCAACGCCATAAAATGATAACAATATTTATTGACCCTTAAATAAAAAAATAATTTGAAATAACTTTTCTGCCAGAGAATTAATCTATGTAAAACTTTTTTTTAGTTAATTTTTTAATTATTATATATATTCAACTATAAAAATTCAATTAAAATTTTGATTTACCATTCAAATTATATTTATCAATTTATGCTATAAATAATTTATAAATTCTTAAAGAAATATATTCAATAACTTAAACAAAAACTAAAATAAAGAGAAAGCAGCATTAAAAATTATGAATTTTAGTTAATAAGCGTATTTTTACATAATAAAATTTTTAAAATGCTAATGTTTTATTTATCAAAATTAAATTTTTCAAACTCTAAAATTTATCAATATAGCAATTTTAAATTTTAAAAATACTATTATAGCATTATAGTTTTTCGTAATGATTGATAAATCTTAATCAAAATTTATTGTTAAATTTAAATATGTTGCATATTTCTTGATTTGTTCAAAAACTAGACTTAAGTTTGAATAGAAAACAAATACAAAAATAGAAATGGTCTTTTATTTCTTACTCTAAACTTATCACATTTAAATATTGTAAATTTATTTAAAATTATAAATAAAATATTTTAGAATATGATAAGTATTACTCCAATGGTTTCATCTAATACAATAGATATAATAGATGATACAATATGTTAAAATAAAACAAATAGATAGAGTAATAGATAAAAAAGAAGCATTAGTAATAAATTAAAAGATCTTACATATGATAATTAATTGTTTGATAAAGTAGATAATAAAATTAGAGGTTATTTAGAAAAGAATAAAATAAACTATGAAAAAACATTAGTAAAGTTATATAAATTGGATTCTTTGAAAAGCGAAAAAGCTAAAAAAATGTTGGGGGAATTAAATCAAACTAGAAGAAAATAACAATTAAGTGCAGTTCGATAAACAAAATCAATGTATTTTATATTGTTATTAATTTAGTGAAAGAAACAATAGTTTACCATCTTCAAAATAAATGTAAATGGATCTTAAACAAATTTAATAAGAACTTAAAAAGATAAATCCAGAAATAGAACATAAATTACTTATGAATATATCAACTTTTAAATTTAATCAATCAAATTGTGCTCGTCTTGAAGAAGAATAATGGGAAAGAGTTGCATTATACTACCCTTATAAAATTAGACCTAAGATGACTAATTTTGAATAAGAATTAGATCGTTTAAACAGCTATTATTCTAGAAATGAAAATTCTTTAAATTAACTAATTTAAATATAAAAAGATCTCCTACACTATAAATTGCTTTAATAGTAGTGAAATATTTGATATAAATATACTTTTAATTATATCAGTTATAATTTTATAGCTATTTATTCTTCATTAATATTTAACAATTTAAGATTGATAGTAGAAATCAAATCATTCTGATTATAAATGGTAGATTATTGATTGTAATGTGATTATGATCCATATTGATTTTTTATATAATTGGTTTTTTTGCCTATTAATAAAGCATGAAAATATCACATTTTAGTCTAAGAACTAAGATATCTGAGAAGTATCTTTAATCAAAGTTTTTTGATTAATTTTTGGATGGTCCTCTACAATTAATAAGATAATGGGATGAGTGATGAAATTTTAGTGTAGTTATTTTAAGACTTGAAAGGTTATTTTATATAAGTGGGAACATTAATGGAGTCAGTTCATGGTATTGTTTTTTTCAAATCTCTATAATATAGAATTGGTAGCTTATTAGGGGAGACTATAGATTTAATTTAAATTTAGCTTATTTAGTTTGAAATTGGAAATCTTTTTATGATTTTTAGGAATTTAAGTTGCTGTCTATAAATTCTATAGAATATAAATTGTAAGTTCTAATATTTTAATGAAATGTATCTGATAGTTTAATTTGATAACTTTCTATTTGTTTCTAATTGGATTGAATTATAAATATATATGATTGAATAGTTTTTGTTAGTATTTTCTGTTAATTATGATTGAGAATATTAGTCATTAATTGTTTACATTTATAATTATAAATTATTATTAATATGTAACAGAATAACAATTATGAATAGCTAATAAAAAAGAAAATCAATCTGATAAATGATTTTGAGAGTGGCAAGAAATAATATTTGAAAGAAGTAATAGAACGTCCAGATACTCCATAATTCTCAGATAGAAAGAGAAATGAGAATAATGTAAACAAAATAAATATTTAATATAGAACTCTTTCATTTTAATCAAAGGTATAATCAAATTATACAATTTCCAGAATAAATAGAATACGACATTATTATTGATTAAGAGACTTTCTCATCGTTTGTAGATGTAAAACCTTATTCAGAACAAGATCTCAATAAGATGATGAATTAACTATACATATTTGTAGATTCGAAATTTTGGAATTTTTGTTTAATGTTAGCTTATGTAAGTGCAATTCTATTTTATTGTATAGAATGAAGATACATGGTTTTAATAACAAATAATTCCATATGATAGAATGGCAAAGATTTTAGGATAAATATTTTCTTGTGTTGAGAAATTTGATGATTAAATAATTTAAGATTTAGAAAAAGTAATTAATTATAGATCATTGGCACATTTGGATAGATTGTTATTTGAAAATAAATTACCTTAATTTGAAAAAGTTATCAAAATGCTTAGAACCTAAATTCTTAGCAATCCTCATCCTGCATTTATCTTAAGAGAATCCTAAATCAAGGAAAAATAATTTGATAGTTTTTCTAAATTGCAAGCTTATAAATCATTTACACCAACTAAACCTTCTGCATTATCATCTAAAGGTATTTAAAGAAGTGAAATGCTTTACAATCATTCTAAATAACTCTAAGAAAAAGCTCGTCATGCTTAATTAATAAAAATTAAATAAGAGAATGATGAAATGATATCATTTCAAAAGAATTTCAAAAATGTTTCTGGGGATTAAGTTTTTTAAAGATTATTCAATGAATCTAAAGCATTACAAATCAAATAATAATAATAGATTGTAAATAAGGAAGATATTTTAGATAAGGAATGTACTTTTAAACCAGATATTAAGAATACATTAATTAAAAGTGATTAGAAGGTGGATTAAATACCAGGATTTGAAAATACTATTAAAAGAATGTAGAAAGCATAAAATGAAAAACAATATAAGGAAAAATATTTTGAAATCAAGTAATCTTAATTAGAAAAAGTCAACAATAATAAAGAGATTAAGGAGTTTAAATTATCTGAAAGGGAAGAAAATGAAGAACCAATATTATTTTTAGATGTTCGTATATCTAAAAATAAAATAGGAAGATTAGGTGTTAGGAAAAATGATGATTTACAATAAGTGATAAAGAATTTTGCTAAAAGTATGATTTATTAATTCTATTTGAGCTTTTGCACTATAGAAAACATAAATAGATTCCTTATAGAAACACATAAAGAGTGCTATGGAAACTTTAAATAAACATTAGGAGTAATGAGTTTCTTTATACTTAAAATTTAGTTATTATAAATAATTATCTAATGGACTTGAACTAATTAGAATGTCTTCTTTAATAATTAACAGAAGCCAAAGATTAAATTTTAAGTATATAAATAGATTATTGAAAGAGACTGCTAATTATTGTTCAGCTTATCCAGAGAGTGCTACATAAATAGCAATAATGATTGAGAATGAATTTATTTAGACAAGGAAGGATAAGAAAAGAATATATTTATATTTGATTCATCAAATAATTTTAGATGAGAACCAATTAAAAAGACAGGATAATCCATTTTTAAAGGCATTTGGTGGAAAATTAAAAAAGTTATTGGGAGACTTTTGCATAGTAGATGACATAAAAGATTTGGAGAGTGCTCACACAATAATAAAGAGATGGGATAGGGATCAAATATTCCATCCTTCCTTTACCTCAAAACTGAAATCTATCTTATAGCCAAAGTATGATCAACTAAAACAATAACAGGAAACTTTTAATGCTTTGAATTAGACTGATGCATCAGCAAATAAAGTATTACAACATAATATTTAAACAGTATAAGTATATAAATAAATATATATGATTAGTCAATTGAATAGTCACATAAAATATATAAGCACCTAAAATAGTTAGCTGATATTGATAGCAAGACTTTAGAATTTAATTGCAGTTATGATAAATTTGATGAGAAGACAACATCAAATTAAGAATTGTAAGGATTGATTGAAGAAGGTGAGACATGTAGAGAACAATTAATTTAGGTAATGATTTATTGGATTTAAAATAGAGTATTATTCATTTATAGTAATTCTATATTGACATGGCTATTTAAGGAGAAAACCTATAATCTGATTATTACCAGGGAATGCAAAAGAAAATTGATTATTATAAGGAAAAGAAAAGGGAGTTGTGATAATTTAATTTTGTGATTTAATATTTGATAAATATATATATAGAAAATAGAAATAAAATGTTAGAAATTAAAAAGAGATCAATCTCACTTCAAAACAATTAGAACACACCAATAGATTGTTATTTTTAATCAGAATGTTCTCCAGAGAGATTAAAAAGAAAGACTTAAAAATCTCAATAAACAATGATTTTAACTTCCCCAGTATTATTATATTATCTTAAGTTTAGATTCGTTGTATTGAGAAGAACAATGTTAATGATTTTGATATCTATATAGATGGTAATCTAACAGTAAAAGAGGGATGGTTATATTAGAGTAAAAGAGTATATGTTTAATTGACAAGACAATCTATAAAAGAATACAATGATGAATAGAAGTTATAATTAATTAGAATATTATCATTGAAAGAATTCGAAATTAGTATTATTTAAGAGAAACAGTTAATAAAGATTAAATTTATTCATCTTAAATAAACTGTATTATACTAAGCTAAAGATGTTGTTGAAGCTAAAATGTGGGTTAATAGTTTAAATATTGTATTTGATAAACATAGAAATTATCCAAAAAATAGATTGTAATCATAAGAAGTACCTCGTTATTTTGGAATTGATGTTATATCTGAAGATTACTTTTTGAAGATAGTAGAATCAGGAGATCTATTATTGTTTGAAACCAATAACACAGGAGCCAAATTATAGAGAATATTTACAAATACAAAATATGATCATGTTGCTATTGCTATTAAGATGGCTAATAAATATTTATTTGTTTTTGATGCTAATGCTGATACTGGTGTTACTTTTTTAGAATGGTCTTAATTCATAGAAGTTAATGATTTATATGAAAAGTAAGATCATATTAATATTATAGGTTAGCTATTCGTAAATTAATGAATGTTAATAGATCTTAAATTGAAAAGAAAATGATTGAATTTTTACAATAAGTTCATGGGAAGAAATACGAAGTCACTATTAGCAAATTATTTAGATAAAAGAGTTTAAGTCCATCCAAGAAAAATGATACTTACTTTTGTTCAGAATTAGTAGCCAAAGCCTATAAGAATTGTGGACTTCTAGAATCTGATAAGGCTTGTAGTTCTTATTGGCCAGTGGAATTCACTAAACCATTAAAATTTAGTAAAGAAGCTTCAATTAGTGATGATATTGTAGTTATACTTAAAAAGCATTTGTCTATAAAATCATGAATTACTTAATCCTATAAATTTTCAATATATTTCAGTCTAATTATTATTTTTTCTCTATGTATTAAGCAATCTAAGATGTAATAATAATATATAATACGGTTTAGAAAAGAAGTTTCTATTAGATCTATTCTGTTATTATAAATTAATAGTACTCTTAATACATACAATTTATGGTTCTTCAATTCTCGGATTTTAGATCTGCTATTCATGGCATTATTGAGGAATCACTCTTTTTTTTTAAGTTCCTTAAAGTGAAGTAACATAAGAAGGAATATAACCACAATCTAAATCTTCATCCACATTACTATTATTTTACATAGTTTGCATAAAATTAAAACTAACATTCGAATTGTGATTAATGATTTTTTAATTATTTTCTTATTTCTCTAAATATGTCTACACTTTTGCTGGTGTTTATGCTGGACTTATTAAATATTTTGAATCATCTTGAACATCCAATTCTTTTGGTAAAAACTTAAAAGGATGACATAACCAATTATTCTATAAAATCTCTATAGCTGTCACTCTCTATCTTGGGTCCTCTTATAACATACTCTTTATCAATTTTAAAGGTTAAGGTGGAATTATCTTACAATATTGATTCAAATTCAAATTCTATATTTGGTATAATTAATCAATCTCAGTATTCCCAGCTAACAATGGTGATAACAAGTATAGTTCTGCTATTATACAACCAAAAGACCATATATCTATTTCCTATGTGTAGGCTTATTACTTTATTTATTCAGGAGACTATAATAATCACAATTATTTTGATACTCTATACCATCTTGTAGATACATAATCAGTATGTTACTCATTTTAATAAGTGACTTATCCAAAATCAATTAATTTCACTATTCCATTATCTTAAATCATTATATTCTCAGGTTTCAAGTCTCTATTCAATTAATAACCAATACTATACCGATGTAAATAACCTTATGTATGTAAATAATTCAATGCACTAGCTATTTAATAAACTATGCTCTAAATTTGCTATTCGCATAAAGTTCTATTTCTCTCCTTTACTGATTTATAATATTGTAATAAGTTTCTCTCGCAATAATCAAGTACTATTCCTATTGTCTTCTTTTCTTTTATCACATCTCTTAATTTTATTATGTTTGGATGGTTTAATTTTTTTAATATTTAGATCTCCTTTATCTTACTCTCATCTCTAACAGAATTGTCTCGATAACACTTTATTGCAACAAACTCTTAAGTTCGTTCATCTAGAGCTTTTGTTACACTACCAAATACTCCATCTCCTAATTTCTGAATTGTTTTATACATTTATAAATCACTTTATAAAATTACTAAGTTCTATTTTAATTTCAGCATTAAATTTTATTTCCAGCATACATTCTTAATTAAACAATTAATTAAAATAAGAGTTTTATTACTTTTATTATTAACTATAACACAATATTTATTAATCATCTTGACATCAATTATTTAATCTTTAAATATTTGCAGATTATTTTTTATGACATTTTTATATTTATTATTCAATGTTTGTAATGTATTTGTTGATGATGTCATATACATTAGCCTAATGGAAACTAATTGATTCGAGCTTAACGAATTAAACTCTTACTCTAAAGGAAAATGGTTGGACATTTCAAAATGTCGAAATTGGAACTTGTAATGCAAACTAAGAATAGCAGATTGTCCTTGATAGTGAAATTGATTTAATTCAGAAATCAATTCCATTATCTGTCTAAAAGGTTCAAATATTTTTTGATATATACTATGATTTTATGAATTCTGATTCAACTTAATCAACTGTTACTGTTAGCTTAATTTAAAATAATGGAGCAACTGATATAACAACTCAAATACTATAAATATAAAAATAAGGAGACTAATTGTAAAAGTAAAGAAGACTTTGTAATAGTGATATAATAGATTCTCTATTTGAATTTGAGAAGATCGTAACATAAAAAATAGCAGTATCTCAAACAAACTTTTCGATTTCAATTTAATTTAACCCAAGAACATAAGGAAATAAAATTAGAATTAGAAACTTTTAGGCATATGGCTTTTTTTGTGATTCCTATTGCAAAACTTGTGATGAATCAAATCCATCAAAATGTACAAGCTGCTTTTCTTAAGATTCAACTGGATAATGTACTTGTCCTCTTATTAATACTTAAAATACTTATGTTGGAAGTTTCTATTAAGAGGGATATGGATGTATCTAAGAATGTTCAAGAGATCATTACCTACTTGATGTGAATGATATTTGTTAAAAGGATCCAAGGGTCTCATCTAAATTTAGTTTTATGAATCCTTATCAAAGTTTATCTAATATTCCTGAGCTACCGAGAGCATCTTTAAGCGTTTAAACATTTTCATAATATTGTTATGGATAAACAATTAAGAAAGATATTGCAGGACCATTTGCAAGTTAGACAATATCATTAGCAATAGGTACAATTGATGTAATTTCATTCATTCGTTTTAGAATGACTTTATATCTTATTGATTTTAGTAGTGGTTCAATTTTTAGGATAAAGTTAGATAACATATTGGTATTTTATATAGAGCAAGTTCAAAGTACTTTGTGGTACTATGGTAATTTTTAAGATATAGTTTTTAAGAATATAAGATAATGTTCTACTTTATCATTTGATTAATAGTCTAGATTTGAATTAATTCTATATCCTACTACAAATAGTCCAGTATTATAATTCATAGGTTTAATGTAAAACTCATATAGTTAATGGGGATTTAATGATATCACAATTGATATTGGAGTTTGTTAATTAAATTGTAAGGTTTGTTTGGATGAAGTAACATGTTAATAATGTAATGATGGATATTTTCTATTAAAGAGTAATTGTGTGAATAAATGTCCAATATTTTCAAATGATTGTATAGATTATGTAGATGAAATACCATGTAATAGTAAGAATAAATATAATAGTTTCATAATATTTAGTGAAAGCATTTTATGACAATAACATGACGATTGATGAGATATAATCTCATTTTGATTAAGTAGATAATTAAGTGGGTAATTTTTTAACTGGATAGAAATTCTCAATGATGTAGAATAAAATAGTGTTAGGAGGTCTTTTAGTATGGAACAAGGGTAGATATTAGAAATTATATACTTTTAGAGATCCTCATTATGCAATATCAATAAGATTTAATATAACATTTGGAGATGATTTTAATGGTGAATTTGTGTATTACTTAGATTAGAATGAATAATAAAGAATTTAAAGAAGGTAATAAAGTAGTGATTAAAATGTGATTGGGAAAGAGAGTAAGGAAAGTGTGATGTTTGTTTATAAATACTATTAACACACACTTGATACATTATATATTGAATTTGAATGTATTACAGATTAAGATTTGAGAGATGGATTCTGTGCAATATCAGAGTATTTCATAGTAGTTCATAACTGTTTTATAGGATGCACTGGTTGTAGTAGTCTTGAGTAATGTACAGAATAGATTTAGATATAAGTATGTTCGACACCATAATATTGGAAATATGATTTAATAGGAAACTATATATGTTCTGATTGCATTTAAAATTATTGTATTTAATGTGCAAATGAAAGTTAATGTAAAAAGTGTAAAGATAGATTTAAAAATGTACATGGATAGTGTATTTGTGATAATAAAGAATACAGAGTAATAGATGGAGGAGAATGTGTTTGTAAAAGTGGATATTATGAGGATAAGTATAGTTAGATTTGTTAAGGAATATGTGGAGATAAATTAAAAGTAGAAGTAGAAGAATGTGATGATGGTGATTTGTTTCCTTTTGATGGATGTCATCAATGCATAAATTAATGTTAAATAGAATGCTCTATTTGTCTAAAGGGTATTTGTGAGTAGTGTTAATTTGGATATGTCTTAGTTTTAGATTAATGTTATATTGAATGTTAATTCGATGATTCAATGATATATCCATGTTTTAATTACTAAAATAATTAAGTAATATAAAATTAGGTAAGTATTATAATAGAATAATCAATATGTGGTGATAATTTAGTGGATGAATTTAGAGAAGATTGTGAAGATGGAAACTTAAAACCATTTGATGGTTGTTATGTTTGTAACTACTCCTGTGATGAATAATGTGAATTTTGTGCTAAAGGAATTTGTTATAAATGTAATGATTATTGGTTATTGTATAATGATGAATGTGTAAGTGTATGTGGTAATTAATATGTATAAGCGAATGAATAATGTGATAATGGATTAATAAACATCTAATTAGATGGATGTTATAATTGTTAATGTGTTTATGGATATAGTATGATTGATAATAAGTGTTCTGCTATTTGTGGAGATGGTTATACAACAATGGATGAAGAATGTGATGATGCAAATTCAATATAAAATGATGGATGTCATCAATGTATATTAGAATGTTTGAATTGTAATATATGTGTTATGGGTTAGTGTCAATAATGTTAAGCTGGCTATTATAAAGATTATAATGATATATGTTAAGAAACAGAATGTGGAGATAGAATAAAAGTTGGTTAAGAACAATGTGATGATGCTAATATTAATCAATTTGATGGATGTTATTAATGTGTTTGTGAAATAGGTTGGATTTCTGATTCATCTAATTTATGTTCCTCAATCTGTGGAGATGGTCTATTAGTGAAAGGAGAATAATGTGATGATGCTAATGATATTCAATTTGATGGATGCTATCAATGTAAATTGGATTGTAATGCAGAATGTGCACAATGCATATTAGGAGTCTGTTAATCATGTAATTATGGTTATAATTTAATTAATAATAATTGTATAAATACTTGTGGAGATGGAATCCTTAATCCTCTTAAAGAATAGTGTGATGATAAAAATAATAATGCTAGAGATGGTTGTTATAATTGTTAATAAGAATCAGGATACATTTGTTTCCATAACGATCTTGTCTTTACTCATTGTTAATTATGTTAACATTCTAATTGTTAACATTGTCAACTAATAAATCATGTATAATAATAATGTACACTATGTTAAACTGGATATTTCCTAGATCAATATTAATCTTGTTCTCTATGTGATAAAATATGTATTGATTGTCTATCATCATCAAAGAATTGTATCAATTACAATTATAATGTCTATCAAATCAAATAATGTGACTCCAAAGCTGGATTATATTATGATTTTTAACTTAGAGATTGTATCTCTCTTTGTGGAGATGGCATTATTTCAGGATCTGAAAATTGTGATGATCATAATTATCAAGATTTTGATGGGTGCAATGCACAATGCTAACTAGAACCTGGATATTTAATTGATCAAGATACTAAATTAATTATTACTGAACCAAATGTTCAAGTTTAATTTCAATCTTCTAATAATAATAAATATTCTATTGTTGCTGATACATTATAATAAGCTATCAATTGTTCTGCTACTACTCTTCATATTGACCATTTCAATATCACTAATTATAATTATACCATTCTTGAATCTGATCTTAAATGTGATCTAAACATTTCCTATTTTCAAACTGTTGAACCTATCAATATCATCCATGTTATTATTAAGTTTAAAACCTAATATAAAAAGAGAAGATTACAATAAGAACCAATCTAAGAAATTATTATTATCCCTTAAAGATAACCTTATGTAACCCAAGAATAAAAATAATAAGGAGAAAAAATGGCTCAAACATCCAAAACCATTTCCTAATCCTTACTCTTCTTTGGACCACTTGCTATCTTATTTGGAGGATTTAAGTTTGTTTGGGCTATTCTTGATATTTTAAGTTGGATGAATAATTTCTACTTCTTAAATGTTACATACCCTGAAAATGTCAGATAGATATTCTTATAAGCACAATGGGATAATATCTTTTAAATGCCTTCTCTTAATACATTTAATAATTTAAATGATCCCTATTATTTCCAATCCCCTCCAAAGTTTTATGAAAAAGGAATTGATCCTCTATATTTTAATAACATTCAAACCATTCTTATCTTTTTACTCTACGTTATTGCTACCAAAATTATTTGTAAATCCATAAGAAGGCTTTTAGAATAATTTTATAAAATCAATTCATTAACCGCTACATTTTAGATTAAGTAATCTAGTTGTAAAATTTTTTAATTAAATGATTAATCAGTTGTTAAATAGGTTGATTAAGATTTAGTATAATAGGATTAAATTATATATTAGTAACAATAAATTTATTAAATATAATAGATAGATTAATCATAATAATAAATATTTTAATTATAATAAATAGATTAATCATAATAATAAATAGATTAATCTTTATATATTGGTAAATAATAAGATGAAACAAATAAATAAAGTAAATAGGGTAATAAAAAATAACAAAAAGAAATCAACTATTTATAAGATACTAGAAAATTATTATATAATATACCTCCTGTTTTTAAATCTATTTATAGCAATTGTGTTCAATTTGATGAATGTTTTATTGCCAATTTATTAAAAACAGTGCAATTAAGTTTCCTTGATCTCACATTAGCAATTAGTTTATAATTAACAAATTAATAAACAGGAGATTATTTAGTAGTGAAAATAAATATATTTTTAGCTTATGCTAGTATACTATTATTATTGTTTCTATTGAATTTTTCATATTAGATTTCGATTACCCATAAGAAAAAGTTAGAGAATAAACACTTTAATGATAGGTACAGTTGTTTTTATGAGGAACTGAAGAGTGATGAAAGGATGGCTATGAGTTATTCATTCATAAATTTAGTGAGAAAAGCAATATTTATAATTTCGAGTGTAGTATTTTATTAGGCTCCGATTTATTAAACATCAATATGTTTTTTATCTTGTGCATTAAATATATTGTTATTATTACAATAGAATCCATTTGTGAGTAAATAATAATATATATTAAATCTGATACCAGACTTAGGAGTTTTGATAGTAGTAGGAGTAAGCATAGTGTTAGCATTTTAGGATAGTTTTATTTTATTTGATGATTAAGTGATATACAGTTTAGGATGGGTAATTGGAGGATGTATATATATATCAATTGGATTGTAACTATTGTTTTTGATAAAAGAAATATTGTTGAAGTTCTATTTGAAAGTGAAAAATGTAATAGAGTATTTTAGAAACAGATGAATCATATATTGATATTACTAATAATTTAAACATACCTTATATGATTATTTTAATAATTCAGATATATTGTCTAAAAATTTATATTTTTTATTATATAAACTTTACTTATATATGCTTTTTTGACTTTCTTCTCTTAAATAGAATGAAATGAGATATCTAAATTTATTTTTGATAAAGAGACTTATACAATTAGGAAGACTTCAAAAACAAAATATATGTATAAATTATAATATGTTTGAATTGTTTGGAAGTTACATTTTAAAAAAGGATATGCATTTATTAAAAAGAATATAGTAGTATCAGATTTGTTAATTATTTTTTAAGGAGTAATATTGACTTTGAAATTTAATAGTTTTAAAGTTTATTATTTGTCATGTGAAATATGAGATAATGAGTTTAGGTATATGTCTTTTTTTAAAGAAAGTTAAATGATATGATTAAGATTATTAATAATATAAATATTAAATGTAAACAGGTTTACCAAAAGTGAGATTCTAGAGTGAATATCCAGTAAAAAAAGTGGTGAGTCCATAGATTGAATTACCAATAGAATATTAATTGGTTGAGAAAGCAGGATAAGGAAGTTTTGGAGAGATTTATAAGATTTATAATACTTTGACTCGTACTTTACATGCTTGTAAAGTGGAGTTTAAAGATAATAGATAATAGAATTAACAATCGTTATTAGTTAAAGAATACAACACATTCTAATAGTTGAAGGGAATACCATAAGTTCCTTAACCTTATCAATTAATTTAACAGTAGGATTACAAATTAATCATGATGCCATATTATGGATCAGGTATACATATATATCTTATTAGTATTATTGTAGGTAATCTTGAGGAATTAAGAAAGAAGTAAGTACATGAAAAGTTCTCTGAAACTTCTATTATTAGATTAGCATATTGTTTAATATAAGTTATTGAAGCTGTTCATGAAAGAAAGTATATACATCGAGATATTAAACCTGAAAATTTCTTAGTTGGTAGTTTTGGTGATCATCATACTGTTTATTTAATTGATTTTGGTTTAGCTAAACCATTTGTAGATGCCTAAGGTTTTTTAATACAATAATCAAAGGTATACATATCTAACAGGCAGATAATAAAGGAATGGTTGGTACAGCCAGATATACTAGTATTAATTCTCATCTTGGTGCTGAATAAAGTAGAAGAGATGATTTAGAGGCTATGTGTTATGTATTACTATATCTATATAATGGATAATTACCATGGTAAAATTTTAATTGTCAAACCAGACAAGAAAAATTTTTAAAGATTCTTGAAGCTAAATAAAAATTTGCATCTGGTTAATTAGATATTAATATACCTCCTATCCTTAAAAAAATATATGATCATTCTAAAGGTCTTAGATTTGATGAATAACCTAATTATTCAAAAATGAAAGAACTATGTAAAGAAGCATTCAACAAACATAGTAAGAAATGTTTATATTAGGACCTTATTGTTTTGATTGGTGTGTTTCGGATTGCAAAATTAGACCATATGAAGATATTAATGATGGATAAAGTGAATTAGCTAGTGAATTCTCTACTATTCGAAAATAATTAAAAGGATAAACTACTGATCAAATTAGTACTAATGCTAAAAAGATTTTACCTTGTGAACTAATCTAAGAAGAAGATGAAGAATCTATTAGTGAACTGCCCAATGTACAAAAAATAACCAAATTTTATTAAAATAGAAAACATTGATTAATTATTATTTTATTATTTTTATTATTATCATTCTAATTATATTTATTTAAATTTAATAAATTATGTAAAATTAAATAAAATATATTATAGAAGTTATTGCACTTATTAACAGTTCTTAATTTAATAATGTAAATTTATTTTCCATTATTATTACCATTTATTTAATTCATTGTCTCTTTATAAGATAAGGAATGATTTTTCAATAGTCTATATTAAAATATATATTAATAATCATTTACTCATTATTGAAAATTGAATCTATATTGCCAACTCAAGCATAATATTTGACAATTATAATTTATTTTTTGTAATTTAACTTATCCTTTAAATTTCCTTCCAGATAAATCATTTTCATTTATGTTTTATCTGTAACTTTTATTTGGTTGAATATATTCATGTGTAAATGTTTTAAAATTCAGGGTTCAAAAATATTCTTTATAATATAAATGTAAAAAATAATTTACTCAATTTTGCCATGTGAAGAGTGGGAATTTATAACCAAGTTATTTTGAATAAATAATTATATATATATTATAAATAAATATTAAGTTAATAAATTTATAATGAGATTAAAAAATTTTAGCCATTTATAAGCTTTATATATATATTGAAGATCAAAGTTTAGTCTGTTTAGTCTTAAGGTAACATTTGAATAGGTTAAATTAATATATTCACAAATAAATAAATATTTAAATATTTCGAAGAAATAGTCTATTTTATAAAATTTAGCTACAACAAAAACCCCGTTTTATGAAATATCTTTTTACTAAAAAGATGTTGGAAACACAATATTAATAAAAAAAAAGAATTTATGGTTGTAATAGCATTCAGAGAATTATAACATATATTTATATTACATGCAATTTAAACTTATTTATGGATCTGATAAAAATTTATGATCTGAATTACATATTAATGTGCCTGATACACATGCATTAAAATTAATTGTTCAACTTGTGATGGCTCTAGAGAAAAAGTTCTTGTTGCAGTAATCAAATAGAATTTAAATGAATAAAGAATGTATTTGTTAACCCGATCCATATGATCCTAAAAATGAAGATTAAATAGGCATAATATTTAATAATAGTAATTCAGTGTTTTTATACTTGTTTTACTTTTTCTGGTCCATCAAATTTAGATTTTATTGTCATATTTCTTATAAATTAATTATATTTAATTTGTAGATGAAAATTTTTCAAAAAAAAAGAATTAAAATAGGAAATTCTTGTCCATGTAAAATTAGATATACTCAATATACTGTATAACAATCTTAAAGTGAAAATATTTATTAATTATTTAACAATAAATTGTAAATAAAATTATTCTTGAAATTTAAATATTTTGTTAAAATATGATTTTAAATTTAAATAACTATTAAAAATAATTAATTAGAAATGATA